GCGCTGGGAAGTCAAATGACTGCGGAAATCAATCACCCGACTTCACAATTGAAAGATTCTTTCATCATTTATTTTTCTCTCGTGTTGTTACAGCGCTGCACACTCTGTTCCTAACAACCTTGACAACTTCAAAAAAGGCTCGTACCTGATGCTGATACACTGATGAATCCGACAAAAGGTCTCGAAGATGAAGAGACGAGCGTTCTCAATGAAATCCTCGAGGCAGGCGACCAAGAAGAAATCATTCACAAGAACCTGAAGGGGGAAAAAAGAGTGTGAACATTTGAGCATGGCTCACTTTATACACGTACAGTAAGAAACATTCACATAAGGAAGAGAAAGGAAAAAAGGACAACGTTCCTCAAGTTGTTCTAGCTTCTCTGTCAGCACATTTTCCATATGCGATTCTTTTTAAAACACAAGTGATGAAATAAAGGCTATGTTTCCACATGAGAGTTTGGCTATAATTTCAGACCCTCAACATGTTCAACTGGCATGTATACTTTAAGTTCACTACGTTACATAATAACACACCAACAACCACAAATAACGTGCTGGAAATGATTGTGTTCTGGAAAAAGTTTCACTTGCTGAAGTTTTGAAACCCACATACATTAAAATGTCCTGCTCCAAACTCTGCACGCTCACATTGAACAGAGTTTATAAGAGCCTGCAGCTGGAGTTTACAGCCTCTTTAAACAAATAATGAATTTAAAACCCCAAGATTTATTTGCACCCTTGCTAGTCGGCACCAGAATTACCAGTTGGTTAAACGCATCACTAACCCTAACCCTCATATATTAAACAAGCTGTAACACAACTGCCCACTCAGTTGGGGCGGTAGCCAAAACAGTTTCCACCAAGCAGTCCGGATTGGTTCAGTACAGTTCGATAAGATAAACCCTGATCTTGCTTGTGTTTCCACAGCAACCTCACCCTTATTTGGTAAGCGAGTGTAAACCAGATGGAGGATAGCTGTGTCAGCTCTGTATAATGTGACATCATAGCAGCCCAACACAGTGTAGCCTGCTATTAATTAAGTTAAACGTTCAAGACACAGTAACAAAGGGACACTTTAGGGTTGGATCGATACCTTTGGCCACCCTAACAGAAGGGTACCAAAAAGTAGGACGGTACGGATCAGTTATTTGGTAACATTCCCAACTTTTGAACAATGGAAACGCCAATGGGAACATTACCAAACAGAACCGAACCGGGCCGCTTGGTGGAAACGCGGCTATAGACTGGCTGGAGCTCCGGCTAACGGGCGTCCTCTGCTGGCTCTACTACCTGGATGCAAACAAGCAAAGTGAACAGATAGCATCTCATAAGAGCCGCACGTCTGGGAGTATTTAGATCAAGAAGACTGAGGTTAAAATGTATGCAGGCTTTGTCATATTAAAATAGCAAATTAACCGAAGCAATGCATAACTAACCACATATAGGAGAGGCATGTTAACGTTAACCTGCAAGAAGAACTGAAAGCCGGTGATGCTAGCACTGCTAACGTTAGCCACACTCCGCAAACCAAATTACATCGTTTACCTGCAGAGCATTTTCAACTTTGAATGTTTTCTTAAAGTTTTCTTAACTTTAAACTTGTCGGTTAGATTGAATTTAATTTTTTGAGTGTGACGGCCTTCAAAATGAGTCACCTAGAATTTATTGCCACACAACATTCCTCCATCTTTCGCCAAGCTCGTGCTACAGAAACATGGGAACTTGCCAGTTGCTGAACATGACTGCATAATGAAGCAGTCACCTAAACTTGAGTCTCGCAGAGTGTTCTTCGGCAGGAGATTATATTTCAACGTCTCTATCTGTGGTTTTAAAGCGACATCAAATGGGATGTTTGGCACCTCAAGTCTCGGGAAGAGCTTAAAATGTATGAATATATTAATGTCTGGAGTTTTGAAAGAAGATGTGGCACCATTATTTCACAAGTGGGTGTCATTATGTAAGAAATCCATTATCCAACGAGCACTTTGCTGTGGTGTGGTGTGAACACTAACTCTGTAATACTCCGTTTAGAAATGCAATCAGTACTTTTTCATCTCATGACGGAGGAATCTCAAAGGTCCATATCTGACATCTCACATCAATCAAAAAGTTCACTTCCCACAAGAGAAGATCTCATTAATATTAAGAGCAAAACAAATCATCCTGAGAGGATGTTTTTACAGCAATTAAGAGGAGAAATGATCTCTAGAGGGAAGATTCAACAAAAAAATGTGATTCTTATTTCCCCTGAGCATTCAAAGTCAGCAGAATAAAAGCAACAGAGTGACTTCATGAACCCTCTTCTCTCTGCTGTCATTGTGCCACACTCCGTATCTGACGGGATAGTTGAGGCTTTTGCAATCACTGCATAATTTATACAAGAGGGGAGAAAAAAAGCCAATTGATGAGAGTGCTCAACGAACGCGCAAAGTGGTCCCCGAACACAGCTACAAAACCCGCAGTCAAGGTTTCTAAAGAGGAGGCGACAGAGCTCCGAATCTGACAGCTGTTCCGCTTTGGAAAATCAAACTGAATAAAAAGTTAAAGCCAGCAAATCAGGCCAGACATGGATTTGCTGGGGCTGAATAGCAGCAAGTTAAAAGAGAGGGACTCAGGAGATCAGAGCACCATAACTAAGAGAAGCTTCATATTAGCCCTCAGTCCCAGGAGACGGCTCACTTTAATGGGGGAGATTTAGGTTTGAGCAGCGTGACAAACACACGCTGTCAAGCAGGAGAAGAAACTTGAGGAAGCTAAACCGTACCGCCTCGCACTCCCTCAGCTTCTTCTGGGCGCTGTCGAAGTCGAAGTTCACGTACAGACACTCCACAAACTCTGTGATCGGGTCCTTGTATGTGTACGACTCCTGCAGAGGAGAGACACACACAGAGTCATTCATGTGTGACTGAATCCCGGAGACTGATTAGATCAAATTCATTCTGCCAACATTCAGTGACCTTACCTGTTGAATGACCTTCACCAAGTCCTTGAGCACTTGCCTGCGCTTCCGCACGTCTTTGTTGGTGATGACTGCGGTTGTGAGGTACCGCAGCATGTGTGGGCACATTGTCTGAATGGCATTTAGGTACCTGAAAAACACGGGCAGCACACAGCCGTCAGCGGATGCCGACGCAACAATCGGAAATTCACTCGGCTATTTTACTTTAAAAAATAACTTTTGTTAGACATTTGTTAACACACCAAGTTTAAAAAAAAAAACATTCATGTTCGGAAAATGTCATTAGCAATACAACAGCAGGACGACCTTCAAACTAATGAGGACTCTATTCAGTATTCAATATGAGCGCTGGATGAAGCGCCAGCAGGCAAAAAGTTCTTTGATCTGTTGAAAAACCCAGACAGAGACTCACTGAGGCTGATAGAGGAAGAGCTCGATGATGTTGTCTCTGCCTTTTGGATGGTTGAAGAACACAAAGAGGGACCAGTGGATGAGCCAGGTCCTCTGCTGGAGCGACTGGAGAGGAGAGCTCACAGACTGAAGGGGCGGGAAAAAGTTACAAAATCAGTCAGTGATCTTGGTTTTGGACATTTCTTCAAAGAGCTCACAGTCCTGTAACTGTTTCGAAAAACCTTCTTCACTTACATTGTTATCAATAGTCTCTCTCAGTCGAGTCAGATCCTCCATGGCTGCCTCCCAGTTCTGCATGAGGATCTCAGAGGCCAGCTTCCCCCACAGAGAGCTCAAGGCGTTCCTGTCTGTGGAGGGAACCTGAGCAGAGCGACAAGTTCTTGATGTAAGGAAGACGGCCCTCTCTTCTGTGATTCATGAGAATGTTTGACTGTTTTAAGGTTTTTCTTACCAGGACGCGGAAGAAGTAGAGGTACTCTGCAGCCCCAGAGTAGTTACCGCACTCGTACTGGAATTTGGCGTACCTGTACAGAGTGTCCAGGTATTCCTGACGAAACTGAGAAATAAGAAACGCCATGTATAAACTTAAAGAGGACATCTTATCCCTCCCTCTTCCACCTTTTCAAACAGTCCCCCTGTGGTCTAAATGAATCATCTGTGCTGTGCTTTGGTCAAAATATAACATGAATCAAGCAGCAGAGGAGGTTTGTGACCCTGTATAAACCAGCTCTCTCAGAATGCTCCGTTTTGGTGTGTGTGTCTCTTTAAATGCAATGAGCCCCCCTCGAGTTTTCCCGGTAGACATCACTCCTCCGTAGCAAGAATAAAAATGGCGACCTGCGCAAATGCTCTAGGCTTTTTTTTTTTTTTTTTTACCAGAATCCCACTGTGACATCACAAGGAGAGCACATTTGAAACGGAGCATTTTTCTCTGTGTTGTAAGACTTATGCAGACCTCAAACAAAGGACTGGATGGGTTTATTTCACATTTTGTGGGTCAGTAGACTCTCAGGTTATCCAAATATATGTTCAGAAACACTGAAAAAAGTGGATTTTTCATAATATGTCCCCCTTTAAATTACATAATAGTGATCATCTACAAACTGAATAAAACCATACAGTCATACAGGGGTTTAGTTTGACCTTTAATTTCTTTAAATTTCCTTTAATTTCTTTAAATTTTAAATTTTTCTTTAAATTTTTTCTTTAATTTCTTACCTCTAATGAATCTGGTAAAAGCTCATTTGATAAATCACAACAGAATACATTGAAATGAATTTGGCTTTAAAGCGTGCATAAACCTGGATACAGTCACACAAGCAGTCCACTGTTTTTCAAGAAGCGAGCACCTCTGCCTTAGAAAGCTAATTGAAGCTTTGAGGCTGACAGAATGCGGATCATTAAGGAAAGAGACACTTTCTTGCCACAGCTTTCACCTTTTAAGACAGAACAAAGCCCGTCTCTTTTTTCCACACCGACACTATCCTCCTCTCAGATCAATGCAAAACGATGTGAACAATCTTTTATGAACAGATGCATCAAAACAAAAGCAAATAATCCGCACATTATAAACTCAGACATTCAAACAGAAATGACATTCATAAACACTACGAGGAGATACTTTGATCAGTGGGGGGAATAGTGGGCACTTTGGTGGGTGTTGTTGGATGATTGGATGATTTCGATAACAGCCCTGGTGGCTAACAGTGGCAGCCTGTTGTTATGGAAACCAAATCTTCCTCTAAATATGAAATTGCGGTGCACTTTTTGAACAATAAGAAAATGATGTGTAGACATCATTAAACCACTCAAAACTTACATTGTGTTTCTCCGACAGATAGTCGAACAGCATCCTCCCATCTCTGATGAAAAAAACAAAAAGAACAAATCAATAATCTGAAGACGAGCCATCATTAGTCAGCAGACATATTCTCTCAAGTACTGCAGTACTGTTAGTCCTATACAGTGGTGAGAGGGATCATCCCCCACGGTTTGGACCACACATGAAACATGGTGTAAAATAAATGTTCTGCCACTAAATCCCTGCAGAGTCTCAGTGAAAAGAAGGAGACCCTCTGTATGAATAGGAAGACAATACATTTCAGTCTTCTAACATTTATGTTCACTTAAGTTTTTCAGATTTTCACACAGAAAAGTGTCGTAAAGTGTTGATATATCAATGTGTATGGTGACTTTGTTTCAAACGCTGCTTTGACTTTTCTCCGTTTCTTCTCATGTGTTTGTGTTTATCATGCAGGGATCAGCTGGTGGCTGCGTGTGACAACAACCAGTAGCTAATGTTAGTAACGTAATGCACACACATCTGCTAAATGAAGGGTGTGTGTGTGTGTGTGTGTGTTACATGTTCAACATCGACAAAGCTCATACAAGAAAAAAAGATTACAACAAAGAGATTTCTGTAGATTAAAGCGAAGTTCATGGAAAGAGTTCTTTGTTTTGTTTGTAAAGTTGTTTTATATAACAATCTGTTGTACTCAGATTAAAAAAAAACACTTTCTAAATAAATAAAAGGAGTTCAGCTTTATCTGACTGCTTGTGTCATTATTACTGGAATTGCAACAATGTGTAGCCAAGAATAAAATCAAGATGTAACACAATCCAGGAGACTCATTTTGAGCTGTATTGATGTTAAAATGCAAAGTTTGAGTCGTGTCAGCTGAGGAGAAGAAAAGTGATATCATAAATATCTTTATGATATCTTTTAAATATCTCTATCGGCTCAAGCTAAAGGGAGATAGGGCCTTTTCAGTAAAAGCCCCTAAACTGTGGAACAGCCTCCCTCATTCAATCAGGTCTGCACCCTCTGTTGACTCTTTTAAGTCCCGTCTCAAGACATACTTTTATATTTTAGCATTTGAGTCCCCTGGTCCTAAATAGACCTTTTCTTTCAGGTTCCTTTGTTGCTATATATATATATATATATATATATATATATATATATATATATATATTTTTTTTTTTCTCTATCTTGTGGACGTTGCTATCTGAATTTGTTTTTTCTTCTTTTTTTAAAATGCTTTGTACAGCACTTTGGTCAGCTGTAGCTGTTTTTAAATGTGTTTTTATAAATAAATTTGACTATGACTTTTTTATGCCCATCTGAAAAAATCGTTTCGATCCATGATAAAAATCTGTGATCTGATCCGAACCGTGTTGTCAGTTGCCCCACTAGTGGCACAGTGAGCGTACACTAAACCAAGTATTTGACAGTGATGATTTTTTAATTGTTTTTTACATTTCTTTGTTCTGACCTCGTGGACTGCATTTGTCGGGTGGTCTCGGGATCCTCAAACATCTTGACGATTGGCTCCGTCTCTGACTGGAGCTGCTTCAGTTGGGCCACAACCGAAGTTCTCTTCTCCCTCAGAGCTGAAACATCAGAGGTCCTCATATTAACAGAATGTGATTACATGAGGGTTGTTGACGCCTACATACAGACATTCAGAAAAGCAGCTGACCTCAATAACTAAACATTCATTTAAAAGGTTAAAATTAATAAACACCTAAAGAAAAAGGTTTTATGACAACAATTTATTGGTGTGTAGCTCAGAGGTACGGAGGAAATAAGAGGTTCATGACGCTTGATCCCATAGTGTCTATGGTTCGGGTAGAACTATTCCTACTGTGCATGTTCGCCTCTCTCTTCAACTACGCATGTTTTATTATTCAATTATATACTCCTGAGTTTTCTACACAGAATTAGAGACTGATGCAAAGTAGGACGAGAATGAGATCTCTGTTGCACAGCGAGGGCGCAGAGTGGAGGAGCACAATCTTAAAACGTGCACGGACAGCTGGGTTTGCTTACAACACATGCCAATTGAAAGAAACACATACCTCCATTATCACAGTTAGCATGAAGGAACAGCTTCTTTTGCTGCTATGTCAGGCAGATAAAATCGTTTCAAAATGGTTATATTCTGACTAAATGTTTGATGCTTGTCTTAATCCCGATCACTATATTCAGCATCCATGTAAACACTGAAGTCTTAATCTCCAATCAGAACGGTTTGGATCGGATTTGGGAAATGTTGCCTATGTAAACATTACTTAAAGGATTTCCTGCTGAAGGCAGCAGACTGAAACGTTGCTAATACATGTTTGCTTGCAAGTTAAACAGAGAGCAGGAGTTTACTTTTAACTTTTTGATGGACATATTGCTCTCCTATATGTTTATGGGCGGCTCGGCCAAATGTTTACAGTCATTGGACACCGTGTATCGCTGTGCGCTGAGACTTTTGACTGGTTGTAGACGCTTCACTCATCACTGTGAGCTGTACACTAACTCAGATTGGCCATCTTTGAACGTGCGCTGGCAAGCTTATTTATAAAGCTCTTCTTGGTTTGGTGCCTTCTTACTTATGTTCATACCTTCAAAGAACCAGAAGCCACTATGCCTTGCGTTCCTGTGATGTCTTTAAACTGTCTGTGCCTCGTGTCCGCACGGAGCTCGAGAAAAGAGCGTTTAGTTTTGCTGCTCCAACCACATGGAACTTTCTCTAAAATGAATTGAAAATGGCGGCTCTCATTTCGCTTGAAGCCTTTGGCTCAATCTTAAAAGATAAAATATGCGAGACAATTGGACAGTGCCCGTGTTTCTGAATTGTAATCAGTGATCAAGATTCTGCACTTTATCTGTAAATCAATTTGCATATTGTAAATCGTTGTTCTCTCCTAACTTATTGTTTGTAAACTGTCTCTTTATCATGTAATGCTTTTTATGACGTGTGCTGCTGCCTTCTTGGCCAGGTCACCCTTGTGAAAGAGATCCTGATCTCAATGGGTTATTTATCTGGTTAAATAAAGGTTAAATAAAATAAAATAAAATCCTACGCACCTGTCTTCTAAAATGGATGTGTGAAGGTTTTTCTATTTTGCATATATTTGTTAACACAGCAAGTGTGTTGCCTGGGTTCTCATGATGGTTCTTATCATGGTTCTTATGATGGTTCTTGTGATGGTCGGGTTATATATGTCTGTTGGGTATCGTGCACTTTGGGTTCTTTTCTGTTTAATTATATTTAATTATTTTTAGTAGTTTTCATTTGTTATGTTCTTGCTGTTGTTTATGTTCTTCTGTGTTTGGTTTAGTTTGGTTTGTTCTTGATTTTGCTGTTTGTCAAAGCACTTTGCTTTTAAAAGGTGCTATAGAAATAAAGTTATTATTACTATTATTATTATTATTGTTATTATTAAAATACATAAGTCCCTGTTCACTTGCTTATTATATTTACCATCTTCAATGCTGAACAGATACTTTATAAAGCAATGCATAACAACACATTAAACTGAGTGCTTCTCTCTTACAATGTGGGATTTCCTTGTCGGCGTACAGGTTTTTGTACACATCCATGGCGAAGTCCACCATGTTGGTCTCACTGAGCAGGTCCAGCTTCCCCTGAAGAAGTTCCTTCTCATTGTAGATCTGTCGAGAATCAAAGAAAGATTAAAGAGTTTTTGCTTTGTTTTTTTTTGTTTTTGCTTTGTTTTTTTTGTTGTTGTTTCCTGTCAAAGTGTCTTTGAGTATTTAGAAAAGGGTTAGTTTTAATAATTTATTATTATTATTATTATTATTATTACCACGTTAACAACACAGTCAAATGTACTAATAAATAATAATAATAATAATAATACATTTAATTTGTAACGCATTTTACAAATGTGCCAGACTAAGAAAGTTCAATAACATCTGCCCAGGTGTAACCAAGGCATGAATGCATCTCTTATCACTGTAGTAACTAAATACTAATACAACAACAACAACAACAACAACAACAACAAGGTAGTTATCAATGCCCTAAATACGTCTTTATTCATGATAAGCGTTGACATAAGTAGACTATGACTAACTTCTAACATAATAGAAATGAGAGAAAATATAAATAAATATAAATAAATATAAATAAATATAAATAAATATAAATAAATTCAAGGTTTCCTGCCAGCTGACGAGCTTCTCTGACATGACTGCGAAGTTGGCCTGCTAGTCATCTGAGTCCAATCGGTGCAAGAAACAACCGTGTTTTACGATATAAATGCCCAAAAATAAACATGAATATCACAGCGAGAAGTAATATAGTACAAGATTTCACGTACTCCTTTCACTGACAAGAATTCCAAAAGAGGGAAAACCAAATGCCGGTCCAGAAAATGTGCTATTTTGGTTGTCAAATCGTAGTCTGCCATCTTTGCTGGCTTCTTCTTCTTCTTCTTCTTCTGATGTGTTTCCGGCAGTGTAGATACATTGGTGCACATTGCTGCCTCTCTCAGGCCATCCTTTGTAATGCTTTAACAGCTTCAATTTTAGACAATTAATCTTCTTGAGAATATAACGAGTCTGTGTCTGGTGCTCAGAGGTCACTGATGTAAAGTTTGACACAGCTGCTTTGGAAAAACTTGAAACTAGTTTTTCCAAGTTTTCAGAATGACTGTCCAACATAATTTCACACATTAAGAAAAATATCACTTATCATCAACATGCAAGATGCTGTGAGACTGAAAAGTGAGCATGCCATTGTCATCAGAATGAAAAGTTATGACATTGTGGACAGCAAAGGTGGTCCACATGTTTGGTAGGCATGACAGGACAGGGCAAATCGAGACAGGACAAGACAAGACAAGTCAGGGCAAGACAAGACAAGACAAGACAGGACAAGACAAGACAAGGCAAGACAGGACAGGACAAGACAGGACAGGACAAGACAAGACAAGACAAGACAGGACAGGACAGGACAGGACAGGGCAAGACAAGACAAGACAAGACAGGACAAGACAGGACAAGACAAGACAAGACAGGACAGGACAGGACAGGGCAAGACAGGACAGGACAAATCGAGACAGGACAAGACAAGACAGGACAGGGCAAGACAAGACAAGACAAGACAGGACAAGACAGGACAAGACAAGACAAGACAGGACAGGACAGGACAGGGCAAGACAGGACAGGACAGGACAGGACAGGACAGGACAGGACAGGACAGGGCAAGACAAGACAGGACAAGACAAGACAAGTCAGGGCAAGACAAGACAAGACAAGACAGGACAAGACAAGACAAGGCAAGACAGGACAAGACAAGACAAGACAAGACAAGACAGGACAAGACAGGACAGGACAGGGCAAGACAAGACAAGACAAGACAGGACAAGACAGGACAGGACAAGACAAGACAAGACAAGACAGGACAGGACAGGACAGGACAGGGCAAGACAAGACAAGACAAGACAGGACAAGACAGGACAAGACAAGACAAGACAGGACAGGACAGGACAGGGCAAGACAGGACAGGACAGGACAGGACAGGACAGGACAGGACAGGACAGGGCAAGACAAGACAGGACAAGACAAGACAAGACAGGGCAAGACAAGACAAGACAAGACAGGACAAGACAAGACAAGGCAAGACAGGACAAGACAAGACAAGACAAGACAAGACAGGACAAGACAGGACAGGACAGGGCAAGACAAGACAAGACAAGACAGGACAAGACAGGACAGGACAAGACAAGACAAGACAAGACAGGACAGGACAGGACAGGACAGGACAAGACAAGACAAGACAAGACAAGACAAGACAAGACAGGACAAGACAAGGCAAGACAGGACAGGACAAGACAAGACAAGACAAGACAGGACAAGACAGGACAGGACAGGACAGGGCAAGACAAGACAAGACAAGGCAAGACAAGACAAGACAAGACAAGACAAGACAGGACAGGACAGGACAGGACAGGGCAAGACAAGACAAGACAAGACAAGACAAGACAAGACAGGACAAGACAAGGCAAGACAGGACAGGACAAGACAAGACAAGACAAGACAGGACAAGACAGGACAGGACAGGACAGGGCAAGACAAGACAAGACAAGGCAAGACAAGACAAGACAAGACAAGACAAGACAAGACAAGACAAGACAGGACAAGACAGGACAGGACAGGACAGGACAGGACAGGGCAAGGACAGGGCAGGGCAGGACAGGACAGGGCAAGACAGGACAGGACAGGGCAAGACAGGACAAGACAGGACAGGAAAGGACAGGGCAAGACAAGACAAGACAAGGCAAGACAGGACAAGACAAGACAAGACAAGACAAGACAAGACAGGACAGGACAGGACAGGACAGGACAGGAAAGGAAAGGACAAGACAAGACAAGACAAGACAGGACAAGACAAGACAAGACAAGACAAGACAAGACAAGACAGGACAAGACAAGACAAGACAAGACAAGACAAGACAAGACAGGAAAGGACAGGACAGGACAGGACAGGAAAGGAAAGGACAGGGCAAATCGAGACAAGACAAGACAAGACAAGACAAGACAAGACAGGACAGGACAGGACAGGACAGGAAAGGAAAGGACAGGGCAAATCGAGACAGGACAAGACAAGACAGGACAAGACAGGACAAGACAAGACAAGACAAGACAAGACAAGACAGGACAGGACAAGACAAGACAAGACAAGACAAGACAGGACAAGACAGGACAGGACAGGACAGGGCAAGACAAGACAAGACAAGCAAGACAAGACAAGACAAGACAAGACAAGACAAGACAGGACAAGACAGGACAGGACAGGACAGGACAGGACAGGGCAAGGACAGGGCAGGGCAGGACAGGACAGGGCAAGACAGGACAGGACAGGGCAAGACAGGACAAGACAGGACAGGAAAGGACAGGGCAAGACAAGACAAGACAAGGCAAGACAGGACAGGACAAGACAAGACAAGACAAGACAGGACAAGACAGGACAGGACAGGACAGGACAGGGCAAGACAAGACAAGACAAGGCAAGACAAGACAAGACAAGACAAGACAAGACAGGACAAGACAGGACAGGACAGGACAGGACAGGACAGGGCAAGGACAGGGCAGGGCAGGACAGGACAGGGCAAGACAGGACAGGACAGGGCAAGACAGGACAAGACAGGACAGGAAAGGACAGGCAAGACAAGACAAGACAAGGCAAGACAGGACAAGACAAGACAAGACAAGACAAGACAAGACAAGACAAGACAGGACAGGACAGGACAGGACAGGACAGGACAGGAAAGGAAAGGACAGGGCAAATCGAGACAGGACAAGACAAGACAAGACAAGACAGGACAAGACAAGACAAGACAAGACAAGACAAGACAAGACAAGACAAGACAAGACAAGACAGGACAAGACAGGACAAGACAAGACAAGACAAGACAAGACAAGACAAGACAGGAAAGGACAGGACAGGACAGGACAGGAAAGGAAAGGACAGGGCAAATCGAGACAAGACAAGACAAGACAAGACAAGACAAGACAGGACAGGACAGGACAGGACAGGAAAGGAAAGGACAGGGCAAATCAAGACAGGACAAGACAAGACAAGACAAGACAAGACAAGACAGGACAGGACAGGACAGGACAGGACAGGAAAGGAAAGGAAAGGAAAGGACAAGACAAGACAAGACAAGACAAGACAAGACAAGACAAGACAAGACAAGACAGGACAGGACAAGACAAGACAAGACAAGACAAGACAGGACAAGACAGGACAGGACAGGACAGGGCAAGACAAGACAAGACAGGACAGGACAGGACAGGACAGGGCAAGGACAGGGCAGGGCAGGACAGGACAGGGCAAGACAGGACAGGACAGGGCAAGACAGGACAAGACAGGACAGGAAAGGACAGGGCAAGACAAGACAAGACAAGGCAAGACAGGACAAGACAAGACAAGACAAGACAGGACAGGACAGGACAGGACAGGACAGGAAAGGAAAGGACAGGGCAAATCGAGACAGGACAAGACAAGACAGGACAGGACAGGACAGGACAAGACAAGACAAGACAAGACAAGACAAGACAGGACAAGACAAGACAAGACAAGACAAGACAGGACAAGACAGGACAAGACAAGACAAGACAAGACAAGACAAGACAAGACAGGAAAGGACAGGACAGGACAGGACAGGACAGGAAAGGAAAGGACAGGGCAAATCGAGACAAGACAAGACAAGACAAGACAAGACAAGACAGGACAGGACAGGACAGGACAGGACAGGAAAGGAAAGGACAGGGCAAATCGAGACAGGACAAGACAAGACAGGACAAGACAGGACAAGACAGGACAAGACAAGACAAGACAAGACAAGACAAGACAAGACAAGACAAGACAGGACAAGACAGGACAGGACAGGACAGGACAGGACAGGACAGGACAGGGCAAGGACAGGGCAGGGCAGGACAGGACAGGGCAAGACAGGACAGGACAGGGCAAGACAGGACAAGACAGGACAGGAAAGGACAGGGCAAGACAAGACAAGACAAGGCAAGACAGGACAAGACAAGACAAGACAAGACAAGACAAGACAGGACAGGACAGGACAGGACAGGAAAGGAAAGGACAGGGCAAATCGAGACAGGACAAGACAAGACAAGACAAGACAGGACAAGACAAGACAAGACAAGACAAGACAAGACAAGACAAGACAGGACAAGACAAGACAAGACAAGACAAGACAGGAAAGGACAGGACAGGACAGGACAGGAAAGGAAAGGACAGGGCAAATCGAGACAAGACAAGACAAGACAGGACAGGACAGGACAGGACAGGACAGGAAAGGAAAGGACAGGGCAAATCGAGACAGGACAAGACAAGACAGGACAAGACAGGACAAGACAGGACAAGACAAGACAAGACAAGACAAGACAAGACAAGACAGGACAAGACAAGACAAGACAAGACAGGACAGGACAGGACAGGGCAAGACAAGACAAGACAAGACAGGACAGGACAGGACAGGACAGGACAGGAAAGGACAGGGCAAATCGAGACAGGACAAGACAAGACAAGACAAAACAGGGCAAGACAAGACAAGACAAGACAGGACAAGACAAGACAAGACAAGACAAGACAAGACAGGACAGGACAGGACAGGACAGGACAGGACAGGACAAGACAAGACAAGACAAGACAGGACAAGACAGGAAAGGACAGGGCAAATCGAGACAGGACAAGACAAGACAAGACAAGACAGGACAAGACAAGACAAGACAAGACAAGACAAGACAAGACAGGACAGGACAAGACAGGACAAGACAAGACAAGACAGGACAGGACAAGACAAGACAGGACAAGACAGAAACAGTATTTAAATGTCTTCTGACCCAGCCCATTAAGTGGAATTTTTATTCTTTGATTGAGTAACTGTTTTGGAAAAAAGTAGCCCGACATCAAAGTACAAAAT